CTGATAATACTGGTTCCCCAAAGTAAGTTGCAAGAGTTCGTGGAAAAGACCCTGAAAATCTTTTCTGATCTCCTGCATAATGCAATACAGAGAATTTCTCAAAATCTGTGGCGAAATTTCTGTTTTATTAGCAGTGTTGGCTCCTTGTACTCCATACAGCCCTCACTCACCCCTTCTGATGTCAGCTCAAAAGGTGCTGTTGAATTGGAAAGGACCTGTAACAGCAGTTCCTGGAGTCCCCTTTGTTGGGGAGAACTTCGTATTTTACCTCTTATCTTCTTCAAAAATGATAAACTAGAAGACATGTAAACACTTTTATATGAAGAATAAAATCCATAATTCAGGACAGCACCTGGTTTTGTGCTTCATTTCCATTTCTAAACATAGAAGAGATTCACAGAAGCATCTGCTGAGCTTTTGAATTACTTTGGATCAGCTGTAAGTGCTTGTATGCCAAAAGCAAACCAAACTCACACATGAAAACATGCAAATTGCAATGACACCGGGTCAGTTTACATCCCAAACTGACAGCAAGTCTGGTTTGGTGACAAATGCACCTAATAGAAAGAATGCAGAAAGTTTGCATGTTCTTTACAACATGAGAATGCTAAACTTTAAACAGTTGCAAAAAATACATACTTAACCTTTGGGTTTTATATCTTTGCTCTTCTTTCTCTCTGCTTATGGATAAGGATGATCAGATTAGATGGAGATTTGCAAGTGGGAAAAGATGTTGTTGTTCCAGGAATAGTTTCTATTCAGTATGGTAAATTCTTGGTCAAAGCAAAATTTGAGATTTTGGGGTAGCCACAGTGTGTGCCTGAGATCACACCCGAGTTACAGCCTGAGGGCTACAGCAAAATCAGCGGAAATTCTGCAGGACAGATTGGACCCTTTGGAGTGTTGCGGACTGTACAGAAGATATGTCTTCATTCACTTGGTTTGAAGGGCTCCCAGGGGAAAAATATATATATATATATATATGTATATGTATATATATATATATATTACCTGCAGTACAGAAATAATGAGAAATGTCAATCTTGCTCTCTGCTTGCCTGTGGGATTTTCTTCTCCTCAGAGGGGTGCAATATTCACCTCTGCTGGCTATCTGATGAAGAAGAATACGTGGTTAGACTGGAATCGTTTCTAATCTATCGGAGCCAGCATGAGTCAGCCGAACCTGTCAAAGGTGATGTCATTTGTCACCCTCCAGACATGACTAAGTGGACATCCTCCTGGACCTGCCACCACCCACACAGACACTACTGGAGTCCATGTTGGGTCACAGCCCTCAAACCTAAAGGGATTTGCTGCAGGCATCAACATAAAGCATGCTAACAAAAGAGCAGCCACTCTTGCGGGTCCTTTCTGCTAGCATTACTGCAGTGGCTGTGCAGATTTCCCACAGTAGGATGGTGGGATATGCTGAGAGGCAAAGAATCTGGCCTTGTTGCTGGTGTCAGTGCTGACAGTGAGTCACCCAGCTGCCTCAGCTGAAAATTAGTCTCCCTGCCTCTCCAGTGCTGATGAATATTGATGAACTTCACAGCATGGAAAGAACCAAATGCAGGACAGCTGTTTGAAGGGACAAATGCTTCTGCTCTGGGTTGGGAAAAAGAAACAGACAGAGACAGGGGAGCGGCTGTGACAAGCCAAGACAGTCTTCTCCCTCATTTGTCAAAATGTGATTTGCAGACACACTTCCATTCACCCTGTGGCTGCCATTTTCCACATCTTATGTCCACAAATCTCTCTTGCTAATTTGATGGGCAATATGTTGGCTGCCTCCTCTATAAAAAGCCTCTCTGAACTGGGATGCTTCCCAGCTCATTTTAATAAATCATGACTGTAATTAAATTCTTTTGCTGCATTTTTCTGCAATAAAATCCATATCATTCATTTATTAGCCTTTTTTTGCTGCCCAGGTATCTTTCTGTCTCACTTCTGAAGCTGCCTCTCCTGTCTGGTCATTTGAAGAGTGCCATCTGCTTTGAATCACTGGTCTAGTTCAGCTTCTTTTTCCTTGACCTCATCTTCAGAGCCTCTTCTCTGTTCTGTCCAACCCAACAGCCCCATTCTTCTTACAGCCACTGTCCCTGCCAATTAAAACACTCTCAATAGTTCATCTTAGCAAGGCTGTCCCATTGCTGCAAGAGCAACTTCTACCACCATGCCAACAAGTGAATCTGACACAACTCCTTCCCAATTTCTGCTTAGCTGTAATTCCCATTTTTGCTTGCAGAAGATGGAGAGGAAGACCTGAGCTGGATCACAGAATCGCAGAATGATAGAGGTTGGAAAGGACCTCTGGAGATCATCCAGTCCAACCCACGTGGATGCTCACACTCCATTGGGTTTAAGGAAGAGGACTTTGAGGCATGCAGGCCAACTGAAGCACAGACATGTCAAAAACTGACTGACTGTAAACACGTGCAGCAAAGGCTGTGGGTACAGTCAGGAGAAGAACTTGGTAGCCCCTGCCCTCTGCTTTAAATCTCATTCCAGTACAAAGCCTCACTTAATTTTAATGAAGGTCATGTCAGTCCCAGTGGTTGGAGAGAATGGGACTGATCTTAGGAGCCATGTTTTGGCAAAATGGCAAAAAGCTGGATGACAGAGAAGCTGGATGGGATCTGGGTCAGACAAAGCAGTGTAAGCACTGAGTCTTTGCCTTGGTTTAAAAAACAAGTGTTTCAAAGACATGGATGCATGAAGCAGCATCTTGTTCTGCCCTTCATCAGAAAACTTTCTTTTTTGGCAGAGATGTGTTTATAAGGTGGAGTCCTTTGTTTTTCACCTCCTTAAAAGTGTAATGCAAAAAACTGTAACGTCTGAAGTTGTAATGTAGGGTCAATTTTATACTGACACTTGGTTTCATATTCAGATTTGATTGAGATATGCCTCTTTTTGCATCACTCCAAACTAAGTTTTAAACATGTAAGTAGGAAAACGAACATGAAAACGAGTCTTTAAAATGCAGTTACTTGAAAGATGCAGAGCATGAAGAATTCAAATGGCTTTCACTCCGTGACCCAGTTAAAACACATGGAGCAGTGCTGCAATTCGGTTGCAAGCCTTTCAGAGTCATTGGGATGTGGTGGCTGCCTCCACCCTTCTGCCAGTGTAACTGTATGCTGGTACTCTAATGCAGACCAAAGAATCCTGCAAACATCCAGAACAATTTTTCCCTAGAACATGTTTCCATCAGGCTGTCCTTTTGTTCAGGCCTTACAAGGGAGCTGGAAAATACTTGAGATTGCAGATGAGCTTTGCAGAAACGTGTAGAGGTATCATATGATCACTGGTAATGCAATATAGGTACTGCTTACACTGGTACTGAAAGTGCGACCGGCTATGCCATGCTATTATGAAGTCAGAACGTTTCCTATCAGAAGAAATAGAAATAAAATCCCAGCGGCATTTTCTGTTATGTAAAAATTGCTTTGTTGAAGGAGGCACTGGTGAAATATCTGAATTCTAGGAGCAGAGAAAATAAAGCCCTTTTATCTGTTTATTAAAGCAGGTATATTATGAATATACCAAGCAATTGGGTAAGCTAATACAAAGTATTCTAGTGCTCCATTAGCTGAAAATCAGTGTCCTTGCTCTGCAGAAGGGCAACAGAGTAGAACAACATCAGTGTGAAGGACTTCGTGAAGCTTTGCCCTCAGGATCCCAGAGCTGCCTGACTCCCTCCGAGAAAACTCACACACCATTATGAGGGAAGCAAAAGTGACAAAGTTGTCATCTTTTCCACTATATCTTTTGTCTCCTTGTGACAAGCTTTCTTATTTTTAAGGGAAAATATACGAACAAGGGAAGCTTAGGGACAGAGCATCATCCCCCTGCATGGGAACACAGGCAGGGACAGACTCCAGGAACTCCAGCCCCAGACCTGTCAGTGAGAACTAAAGGAACAGCCTTATTAGCTGACAGCAGCAGCAATACCTTGGTTTCCCTGTGGATTATCTGCTCAGGGAAAAGGGGCAAAACGTATTTGGCAAGTGTACATGTTCTCAGTGTGATAACACGTTGCAGCTGCATTGCTTTTCTTTGCATTACTGGCTTCGAGTTTCAGTTCTTTTTCTTTCCATATTCATTTGCAGCTGCTGGGCAGGCTTTGAGGGAGCCTTGTGCAGTAGCAACAAGCGTGATCTTTCCTGCATTACAGCAAGGATGAGCTGAGGCTGAGATAAGCAGCCTGATATTCTCCAGGCAGCTCTGCTGCAGATGACATCACTGGGGGAACACACGCCAGCACCTGCTGATCACATTCACTGCAAAGGCCCTGCTCTCCTCCCCTCGGTCAGCAACGCAGACCATTCTTTAATTCTCTCTGTAAGTGACAGATTGTCAGATACAGGCAGAGCTGTGAAGCAGCAGCAACCTGCCCACTGATTCCTGTGTCAGACAGCAGTCGTCAGTTTACCCTCTTATGACAGTTTGGAGGTATTCCCACTTCTTCTGCCGCCTATGGTCGGCCCTCAACAGGGGTTGGCCCTGTCTGTTGGATCAGGGCCACACAAGCAGTTTATCCCACACTGGCATAGGTGAAGAGATAGAAACATTTTGCAGGGGCTCAGGGGCATGCAGCGGGAGTACACTGGCTCACTGGGAACCTTCCAGAGCAATCCTACAGGCCTATTCCTTTTCTGCTATTTCTGATCCTCTCAGCTGTATCACAGTCATGTGTGCTTTTCCAGGCATGGGAAGAGGGAGCCTACTGAGGGAGTTCTGAGAATCAAGTGGCAATTAAGTCTCCAAGCTCTTTCTCTGTTAGCCCCTACTATGCAGCCTTCTCTTCGTAAGGCTGAATATACCCAGCTCCCTCAGCTTTTCCTTGTACATTTTGTACCTCTGCTCCCTGGCCACATCAGTGGCCACCCACTAACACTGCCTCTGTTTATCAACTTGTTTTCCTACTGGTGAGCCAGAACTGGTCACATTATGCTAGATGTGGCTTCACAAGCATAGAATAGAAGAAAACAATCACTTACCTCAACCTGCTGCCTCTGCTGTTACTAATGCAGCCCAGTGTCTTCTGTGCTTGGCTCTCACTCATGCAGTGGCACATTCTTGACTCACATTTAGCTCGATGTCCATCAAGACCTCTAGGTCCTCTTATATAAAGCTAGTTTCTAGCCAGCCTGTCCCCAGTTTGTACTGCTGCATGGTGTCGCTGTTTACAAGGTGCAGGACTTCAAGTTTGAATTTTTGAACTTCATGATGCTCCTGTCACCCAGATTCTTCTCCATTCCTTCTGGGATGATGGCAGCCTTGCCCTGCACCATATCAACTACTCCCAGTATATAAAATAACTGCAAGTAACAACACAAAAGAGATGACAGTCAGCCTAATGGCATTGTATAAACTAAGAATGCAGCAGGACTGACAGCTATGCTGTACTCATCCTTCTACTAGAAAACACCCTGTGCTGCTGTCCTTCATGAGATAGTTGATGTCCTTATTTTTGAAGAGAAAACCAAAGGATGATGCTTATAACAGAAGGAGCTAAGAGAATTCCTCTGAGAAGACAGTGGATAGAATTAAGGTGCCTTTTTATCTTTATTTCCAGTCCCAGAAATCAGAATTATTAGCATCAGCGAAAAGCACATCTTCTCAGCTGAAAAAAAAAAAAAGATAAACTTTCCTGTGACCTTAACTCAGTCACACAGGTCAAGCAGCAAAAATTAGATGCTTAAAATAACAACTAAGCTGAGCTTCACTGCTCCTCTACACAGGCATTTGTCCACAGGAAAAAAAAAAAAAAAAAAAAAGAAGCAAGCTGTATTTCCTCATCAGTGCTGCTTTGTCATTCAAATAAAAAGACAACAGCTAGGTAACAACAAGTAAGAATTAAAGAAAAGATAATGCCGTGCTCTTAGTCATGCAAAGCCTAAATGCCTATTGCTCAGAGTGAAGGGGGAAATGGTTCCTCTCCATGAACTGTGCTGACAGCAATATCTATATCTTGCTCTTCCTGTTTTCACTCTTGCCCACACAGCAGTAGCTTTCAGTTGGCTCGTTTTGCTCGTCTAGCACAGCATGTTGAAACACCATGCAGTAAATCGATGCAAATCAATTCCTAAATCTGCTAGAAAAAGTCAAGTGTATGCTATTTTTAAAGAAAATTAGGAGGAGCTCACCAACTCACAGAGGAACTCGGGGCACATTCCGATGTTCAGACATGGTTGGCGGGAAAAGCAACTGTGAGGACTTTCCCATCTGAAGGAGTAGGTGGGCAGCCTGGACAGAGGATGGAGACACTTGCTGTCGCTGTATGGTCAACAACGGGCACTCCCTTCCTATTAACTTGAGTTTCTGTAAGCCAAAGGGACTCAATTCCCATTCCCATGACTTCAGCAATTTTCTGGATTAAGGGCCAACAGAAGAGTGCCTGAATTGCCCATGGCAAAAAAACTGGTGGAACAACACCAGCTGTGTTAGGATGAACATCTTTCCCACTCATCTACAGTCTCCACAGAAGAGATATGCCAAAAATTGATTCTGGGGAGCATAAATAATCAAGGATTAATAACTTGGAGAATGGGACCTCACAGATCTCTCCCTTTCAGCTCACACAAACTGAGGAGTCCGGAAGCTGCATGGGGCTCAGGGCCATCTGCTGGACTCTTCCTGTTGTTCCCAGCATAGCAGCTCAGAGGACACCAGTCCCAGTTCAAGTCCTTCCCTTTTCCTCAGAGCTAAGGGAAAAAGAGGTGAGAGGGCTTGGGGAAGGATGAGGATTGGGGACAGGGAAGGAAAGGTGAAGGAGCAGCAACTGGTGCTGGGGCACTCTGGCAGGTGGCGACATTTCCACACCGGGATGGAAATCGAGAGCCCCTGGTGTGCTGCCAATGGATGTGGCAATGTCTCTTAGCAAGCATGATGTTATAGTGCTTGCCTTGCCTGGATGGAGACGGATTCACCTCCATTGGTTCTTCCTCTGCAGGCAGATCCACCTCCATGGGCTTGACATTGCCTTCAGGAGGATCAACATCCACTGACTCAGGTTCATTGCTGCTTCCCTGAAGCCTAAACTTCTTTGGTGGAGGATCCACCTTCCTCTGGAGGCCAGAAGAGGCCGGAAAGAGCTCAGTTTAAATTGCTTCTTATGCCAGAAGATGGCCACAAGTCACGAGTCAGTTACTGACTGGAGTTCTGTTGTCAGGGTCCCTGTATTGATGAGGGTTGGCAGGGAGCTGGCTCGTGACATTGCAACACAGTACCATGGTGGGTGTGACCCTCAGCATGTCCCATGGCACTGGGAACATGGCTGTGCTGGACCATGTTGCTGTGGCCTGACAGTTGCCCTCCTTGCCACTAGTGGGATTCTGTAGGGCTCTGTTTTGAAGCAGGTTTTCTGTAATGATTTTATCCATTACTCCAGTAAAGATCTGGAAGCCATGTTAAGTAAATTTGTGGATGATGCGAACTGGGAGAAGTGTTGACTCCCTTCAGTGTGGAGAGGCATTGCCCCAAAACCTTGACAACTTCAAAGTTGGTTGCCATCTGCATGAAGAAGAGCAAGTGCTGGAATCTGCACCAGGGGTGGGACAACCCTGGAGGGATGAGAGGCTGGAGAGCAGCCCCAGGAAAGGGACCGGAGGGTTCTGCTTGGCTGCAAGTTGAATCTGAGCCAGCAGCGCCCTGGAGCCAGAAAGGCCGACAGAGCCTTGGGCTGCATCAGGGCCTCACTAGGTGAGGTTTGTCCCACTCTGCTCTGTGCTGTGTGGCACTGGGTGCATTTGGGGTGCCCCAATATAGGCAGGATATAAAACTGTGAGAGTGTCCAAAGGAAGGCTATGAAGATGGGGGACAAAGTGTGTGAGGAGCAGCTGAGGGCCCTGGTTTTGCTCAGCGCAGAGCAGAGGAGATGAGGGGAGGCCTGATGGCGGCTGCAGCTCCTCACAGGGAGCGGAGGGCAGCGCTGAGCTCTGCTCTGTGTGACAGCGACAGGGCCGAGGGAACGGCATGGAGCTGTCAGGGGAGGGAAGCTGGGGGTCAGGGACAGGGTCTGCACCAGAGGGTGGTGGCCATGGAACAGAATGCCCAGAGCAGCGGGCATGGCCCCAAGTGCTGGAGCTCAAGGGGCATTGGGTCACCACTCTTAGACATAGGATTGGATTTTGAACGGTCCTGTATGGAGACAGGAGTTGGACTCAATGGTCCTTGAGTGTCCTTTCCACTCAGAAAATTCTAAGAACGTTTCTTTTCACCCTCCTCTATTCCTCTTCCACAGCTTTCTCTCTCTCGTGCTGAGTTGCATGTTCCAAAACCAAGATTTCCTGAGTTCAAAGTCGGGTAGACGATCTTGCAGCTATGAGAGAACTGGCAGAACTATCAACTATATTGGGTAACCTTACTTCCAGAAATGCTTCCAGAAATGGCAGGGACCAGTATAACTGGTGATCTGAGATAAAGACAGTTTAATAGGACAGAAAAAGAAGAGGAAATAATAATGACAATAAAATTATAAACAAAGCAAGTGATGTGTATCGCAAGTGCCCACCACCCACTGCCTGATGCCCAACCCAAACTCTGAGCAGTGGCCAATCCCCAGCCAATCCTTCCCGTTTTGTTGTTCAGCATGATACCATCTGGTATGCAATATCCCTTTGGCCAGTTTAGAACAGCTGTTCTCATTCTGTCCCCTCCCAGCTTCTTGTGCCCACTCCCAGCCCTCTTGCTGACAAAGCAGTGTGAAAAATAGAAAAGTCCTTGAATTAGCGTAAACACTGCTCAGCAACAACTGAAATATTGATGTGTGATCAACACTATTCTCATCCTGAATCCAAAACACAGCACCACACCAGCTACTAGGAAGAAATTTATCCCAGATGAAACCACAGCAACAATGCAAACGTTGAGTGAACAGTTTAGCCATTAAAAAGGCAATTTCAGTTATCTTGAAACCCCAGGACCTCTTCAAGTAGATTCTGCTGAAGAAAAGCATAAACTTACATTCCAACTTCATCAAAATAAACTCCCTTAGAGGAACTCTATTTGCAATAGCTCTTGCCAGCAATAAGGAAAGAAGAGGCTCTCACAGATCACTTTAGTGACCAAGTGCTTGGCAGAGTCAGCTGGGATCTAGGAAACATCTTTCCCTGCACTGAGGCTGGACCCACAGGCTCCAACACTATGTCCTGTAAAGTAAAGGGGGAGATTTTGTGATCTGCCTGTTTTGTGAGATAGGAGAATGATGCTCTTACAAAGCCCAGTGAGTTCCTGTTCTGAGATGTGATAAGCAGGAACTTGACGCTTTCGGCTGTCTTTTAAATGGTCTTTGATGTTCAGCTGCTGGGACTAATTTGTACAGTAGAAAACAGCCTTTCTGTGGGAGCCTTGATCTAAGCTCAAGTAGCTTTGCTTTGCTTTTATCCTAGGACATTGCACTGGAATAATAATCCTTTTGCACATGGTCACTTACTTAGCATTCCTGATTCCTTGGCTCTGCTTGCAAATAATCTGAAATAATCTGGAAACCTTGCTTTCCAAAGTGCCTCTCTTTACAGAGAGGAAGCTAATCTGCTCATTTCTACGTTTTCATTCAGTGAGTGGTAAATCCAGGGAACAGAGTGCGTAGTAGAAACTCACCGAGGTACTGGCTGCTACATCTGCCTGAAGGATATCTTTTGTCCTAGTTCAGTAGTGGGCCTATTTTATCCCTTGGATGCAGTATACACCATGCAACTGCTGTTGGCTTGTTATCCATGGGACAGAAAAATAATCAGCCTAACCACAGAGAAATGACATATATTGGCTCATCAGCCACTTCCCCTCCTCCACGACTCCTTTTGCTACAAAAAGGATGCTATAATGGGAAAGAATACCCTTGTTTATCTTTCACACATGCTGAGCTTGAACTCATTTAGCTGCTGAATCTGTAAGGCTACCTGCAAGCTGTTCCCTCCACAAGCAGAAAGTCACCAGGCTGTCTGCCTGACAGCCCCCTAGAAGGATCCAAGCAAGAGGTGGAGGCTCATTAAAACACATGTTGTGCCCCACTCTGGAATAGATACAGCGAGATGAGCTGGTGAGGAAGAAAGAGTCAAATTGTCTCAAGCCACTGTAAAATCCCAGACCATGCTCTCAGTAATATGATCAGATCTGGGGCTAGATGATCAGCTTTGGCAGTTCTAATAGGTTCTGTCTGCCAGCACTATAATTGTAAGCACAACGAACATCTGAATATAATAATAATAATGATAAAAAGCAATGTTTCTATGGCCTACACCCACTGGGACATCTCATTTTTGCTTTGGCTTTAAGATAAAGTATGATGAGGATGTTTGGATCAACAGCTTCATTTCAGCCAGTGTTTCTGATAAGTCTGTCACCGCATTTGTCTCTGGAAAATATTAAGCACAACACAGAGCTCATTCCTAGATGATGTACAAGCAGCTTGTTTTTCTCATTTCACCACAAATCTTATTTATATATACACTGCAAACAGATTGATACCACACACAGAGCACATCTATAGAGCCCAATTTCCAATGTTAAATTAGATTTATGGTCTTGTAATTCCACGGACTTCAATGAGTTTTTTTACCAGACTAAAGCTGATTCCTGGGGAGAAGGGATGTATCACGAACTTACACATACTACTTGTCTACCCACCCAGAACCATTAGTGTAGGCACGCACCTGGCACAGATGGTAACAGTTAAATTTGCCTCATCTTTCCTTTTATAAGACTATGATTTCAGTTGTTCACAACTGCCAAACATTCAATGTTCAAGCAGAAATTTTCCCTCTAATGTGCTTGCCTCAGGCTATGTATTTTCAGACAGTTCCCACAAAAGTAATCCAGGAGTTTTTAGGATGAATTTAGGGAAAACCAGTTTCCCTTAAACCAAAGACTCCAACTGCCTTATATAGAGTATCTCAAAGCTTTGAAGTAAGAATTCAGAGCTTTGAAGCAAGAATTCAGAACACTGAAAGGAAGTGTTATGTTGTGTTCCAGAAATGGATGTGCTGCTGCCCTGGAAATCCATCCACAGTCCTAAATCAGCAGCTCACATTGAGCTGTTGGCTTTGCACTGGCCCTGAGTTACCCAGCTGTGCCAGCACTGGCATGTTCTGCTGCAGTGGGCCATCTCTGCGCTCAGACAAGGCATGCAGCAAGCCCTGTGCATGCTTACAGATCTATCTGTAAGGAACTGCTTGATGGTGCTATAAGCGTTCTGCCACACAACATGTTGTGATTGCAACAACTGCTGAGGCTGGCTGGGTTCAGAGGCCCTCAGAGGCAGCAATATGGGTGAGTGGCAAACTTCAGAAAAGGGCAGAAAAGGGGAACAAGAAAGCTGCCCTAAATTAGGTTGACTTTGTGTTGTATTGTATTGTATTGTATTTAAAAGCAGCTACTGACAATGCCCTGAAAAAAAGAATCCCCACTACTTCCTTTTCTTAGGCAGGGCTACACTCATTTCAGATGCTTACCCAAGTACAGAAAATATTGCAAAACGATTTGCCAATGTAGCCAAGAAGGCCAATAGCATCCTGGCTTATGTCAGAACTAGCTCAGCCATCAGGAGCAGGGAGGTGATTGTTCCTCTGTACTTGGTTCTGGTGAGGCTGCACCTCAAGTGCTGTGTTCAGTTTTGGGCCCCTCACTGCAAGAAAGACACTGAGGGCGTGGAGCACGTCCAGAGAAAGGCAACAAAGATGTGAAGGGACTGGAGCACAAATCTTATGGGGAGTGGCTAAAGAAACTGGGATAGTTCAGTCTGGAAGTGACTCAGGAGAGACCTTATTACTCTCTACAACTGCCTGAAAGGAGGTTGTGCTGAGGTGGGTGTTGGCCTCTTCTCCCGCACAACTATCAAGATAACTAGAGGGAATGGCCTCAAGCTGCTCTGTAGGAGGTTCAGGTTGGATATTAGGAAATTTTTTTCTCTGAGTGAAATGGGCTGCCCAGGGAGGTGGTGGAGTCATTGTCGCTGGAGGTGTTCAAGAAACATTTAAATGCTGTCCTATGGTTTAGTGGGGAAATACTGGTGGTAAGCAGATAGTTGGACTAGATGGTTTTGGTGATTCTATGAGTCAGTGATGTGCTTCTCTTAGTGTGTGAAGTCTGTAGATCATTTAGGGTGGACTTGACCTTTGGAGTTAAAAGGGCCATCATCCTACTTCTACTCTAAGGAGAGACAAGGACCAAGAAAGGCTTTTCTGTAATTGCTTATCTCAGGTAGGGAGGATCTCTCTGTGGTGTAAGACAGCACAGCACCATGCACAAGACAGTATCTATCCTGTCACCACACTCTCAGTGATGACACCTGGATGGTGGAGTAGAAGGAAAAGACCACCTTCACAAGAGACAAGGTGATTGACAGAGGAGGTGAGACAGGAGGGTTTTCTGTGTGTGCGCTCTTCCACTGTGACTCAAAGCAGACCCCAAATTTTTCACTCATTTGAAGAGCTCCCCAGCAGGGAATATGGCCCACCTTTGTCTAGAGGCTGGCCTAACAGGCCAAAGGTTCCCAAACCCCATATTCCAGTGGTTCACAGTAAAATCATAAAAGCATTAAAGTTGGAAAGACCACTAAGATCATCCAGTCCAACCACTAACCCGTCCCCACCGTGCCCACTAACCTCAGTGTCACATCCACACATTTCTTGAACGCAAGCAGGGATGGTGACTCCATCATGTCCCTGGGCAGCCTGTTCCAACACCTCACTATTTTGGAGAATAAAGTTTTTTTCATATCCAACCTGAACCTCCCCTGGCACAGCTTAAAGCCATTTCCTCTAGTGTTATTGTTAGCTATGCAGGAGAAGAGGCTGATCTCAACCTTGTCACAACCTCTTCTCAGGTCACTGTAGTGAGTGATGAGGTCTCCCCTGAGCCTCCTCTTCTCCAGACTGAATAATCCCAGCTCCCTCAGCCACTCCTCATAAGACCTGTCCTCCAGAACCTTCACTGTTTTGTTGCCCACAGCACAGTGAATGGTCTTGTTACAGAACATCCCACCTTTAACTTACAGTTATTTTGATGTTTAATGCAACTCTGCAGACCCACTGCTGATCACGCATGGTGGCCACTGACATCTGTGAGCTGCAGACCACCCTGCCAGCGTGAAGAGCTCTTCTTTGCTTGTGCTGTGCACTTTGCTCAAGTGGAGGTCTCTGCTAAATCTCAGTCTAAATAGCTCAACCATTTTGCTGACCCTGTGAGAGTACATATGGCTCCATATGGTGGGAAACCTGTTTTTCCAATTTGCTCCTAAAACTAAGCATAGGAAACTATATACAAAACTATGGAAAGAGAATATTATGGTTGCAGAATCAAGCACTTACAACTCAGGAACTGGCTGACAAGGTTTCAGTACATAAAAGAAAGATCTAAATAAACATGTTTTGATAGCCAAAAAATGCTCTCTGAAAGACAGGCTAGATAAATAGAAATAAAAGAATGAGGCCACTTTGTTTGAGAACAGCTTCTTAAATCATGATTGTCTTTCCAGACCATTTCCTTCTCTCCTCCCTAAACTCCTGCCAAATTGCAGCAAGGTTTAACGTGAACATTTCACAAAAGGTTGATCTTTGTACTTGAGAGATAAGAAAAGTCTGGGCTTTGGAAGTGATTTTTTTTTCGGTCATTTTTGAAGAGTTATAATGGTGTAAATTGAGTACCTTAAATTCACCACAACAAAAAACTGCCGCACGATGTAATTCTTCCTGTTATTTCTCTTCCTCTGTAAAGATGACATTCATGCCTGTGGTGGGTCCACCATAGTTAAGGGAGAGATTTATCAATATGAAATCTGCTTTCTGCAAAAGAAGGAAAATAAGATTTCAGAACAAGTCCAGTAGGGTTGCCCGACAACCCCCAATTTCCCGACATTTCGCTATCATTAGAGATACACCAAACAAGTGCAGTATTTGTTAAGCTTCAGCAAGGGAAAATCACCTCCCATAAAGCCAGGGCAAGGCAGTGGCTTGCTGTGAAGGAAACAGGAACTTCCCCAGGCTAAGCTGAAGGAGAGCAGCCAGCCAGCAGTGAGTGTGCAGCCCGTGATGGAGTTATCTTTTGAGCAGTGGTGAGGACCTATTGGATCTCGGCTTTGGCAGCTGGACAGTACCAAGGAGGCTAAAAAAATCAAAGCAAGACATGTGGCAAAGCAAACAAGCAAGTCGTATAAAACCAAAACGAATTGAAACCCTTTCCCTTGCAAGAAGCCCTCCCCACCCCACAACAGTCAGAAGCTTTGTAGAGTCCTATTTGCACATCAGGAAGGGAACCTGAAGCAAAGTTTAGAAATCTGGTGACACTGTTCACACAGGTGCTATTACAGAAGGGCTCTTCATATAGGGAGTGGGATTTCCAGATGCCAGTCAGGCAAGGGACTGATAGATGAAAAGAATATGGGAGCAGCACGGGCTGCAAAGGGCTGCATGGGCTGGACTAAGCTGTAGGACAGCCACAGCTGGAGGCAAGAATCAAGTACAAAGAGATGGTGATTAGCAAAGGAGGTCTCAGCTGAAAAGGCAGCAAGCCAATTCCTACCTGTCAGGTTCTGCCTTTCACTGATAGAAGCTGAACATTCTGTAAGGAGCATTTTACCAGCCCCCCAGTCTGCAGGCATCGGTGCAGGCATCATCACAGCTCTGGAGAAGGGCCAGTACAGTTCAAAGTCCTTTGCTGGAAACCAAAGCAACTCTGACAAGCAGAGACGTAAAATTTATGAGGTCCTGATTGCTGAGAGCGTATGTTTGGGATATAAAAATGTAACAATTATGCCACCCACACTGTTTATTCTTTTCTTATGTGTGGAGTTTTGGGCTAGCATGTTGAAATACAAAACAATCTGAGCACTTTTTTACATAGGATTTATGGCATTCCTAGACTGACATTTAGTATCACAGTTTGCAGTTGAGCATATTATTCAACAAGCCACCTGCCTCTATAACTGTCACTGGCTGGGTCCAGACTTGGTTTATGTACAACTGAGAGGAACTCCTGTTCTTTCAGTTACTGCCTGTTTACAAGGAGGTTTCATGGCACACAGCGCTGAAAAAAATCAATTTGTAGAAATAAAAGACAAGGGCGAAAGCCTGGCGTGATTTATCTTGTTTGGAAGCTATAGAAAGGGGCATGTGAAATCTGGATTCCAGTAAAGAGGACAGCCCACAGAATAAATTGGCACTGGCTTGTGCAGACAGAGACCCCACAGAAACACAGCGAATCGCTGGCAGTGAAGGGTCGGGGATTGCCAGGTGGGCTGGCACAGGACCTGCAATTTTCACATCTGGAGCTCCCTGAGCCTTTTTGAAAGCACCAGCTCTGCCCAAAGGAGATCTGTCTATCTGTCTGACTTCTCTGGTGCGCGTGCTGCTGTAAGGTAGTAATCCAGTCCCATCCATGGTGACAGGAGGTGGCAGAGGTGCGTCAGGACGGCAGGCACTGAATGTAGCATTCAGACTGCCGCACCACAAAGCAGCCCCCAATACAGCCTCTCTGAGTGCTTCCACCCTCATCAGGGGAAACAGAAGCACCACTTGCAGTCTCTGCCCAAGTGCAGGTGCAGCAGCTTTGGCTTCAGCGCTGGCTGTACAAGCAACCCTTAGGTCCAACTGTGTGCTCAAGCAGCTGTATTGGAGTCATGGAATAATTTAGACCGAAAGAGATCTCTGCAGGTCATCTAATCCAACTTTCTGCTTGGGGCTTTGTCCTCACTCACTGGGCTGAGGCACAGGCTGCCGCAGCTGCTCCGCTGCCTCTCTGGTCACACAGACACATTACCTACACGTGTGTTTCTAAAACCAGAATATTTGTGGCTTAGTGTTAAGGCTGGGATTCTCTTGGGCAGAAGAAGCCATTGATAAAATCACTGGCAATCCTTACAACTCTTTATCACAGCAGGGCATAGAGAGGGCTCCATCAATCTGTCATTTCTGTGCTAATACAGAATCTAGCAATTTCCTGCTCTACAAGAAAAAAAAAAGCCCATTTTGTGTTTCCCTGGGGTCTAGTTGCAGTAGAGACCAGGGAGACTAGGAGTTGAATGTTCCTGGAGAAGGAGTGTTGCACTGACATAGTTTGCAGGGCAATTGGGTGTGCTTCATGTCTAAGGTCTCTATATAGACAAAAGATTGGTCTTCTGACCTGATTATAGGTAACATACATTACTCTGCTTCAATGAAAATCTCTTCCACTTGGAAGAAATATGCTGGCATAACAAATTTTTTCACCTGGATTTAAATCTGGTACTTTTCTGCAAGCATCATCAATTCAGCTCTGAGTACTGCAAAGGAGAGGAAACCTAAATCTCTGCATGCGTTGGCTCGTACAATAACAAAAAATCTGCCCTTTTGGGAATGACAAATGGAAAAAATGGTGACATACAAAATTAAAATAATAGAATGGTCTAGGCTGGAAAAGACCCTTTTTGGCTTTCAAGTTCAACCATCATCCTGAGCTGAGTCCCATCACTGAACCATGTCTCTTAGTGCCACGTCCACACATCGCTAAAGTACCTCCAGGGATGGGGACTTGATAGTTAGCTGAGCTCTACCTGATCTTCCTAGAAGTGCTCATTATTTAAGAAAAAAAAAAATCTACATCATTCCTGAGGATCATGGGATTAGAAATCATACATGATAAAAATCCTGTGGCATGATTTCTGGCATTTAACTGGAAATACTTCTTGTGTTTTACTGCAGAAGGATATAAATGGTTGTACTCTGCTTCTCCTGCTTTTTCTCTATGGTTGGCACTTCCCAAGCATAGAATATAGACCTGCAGGCAAAGAGTGGATGATGGTACATCAATTGCAGAAATGAGTTCTGTCTGGCACAGGCAAGATGGGTTGTCTCTTTTTACAGCCACTATATGAGTTATATGAATTCTAATATATACTGAGAAAGTGTCCCAAGCTCATAATCATGAGGACGGGCCTTTATGCTAAAAGCAATTCTGTTGTAAATGAAACTGAATACCCATTCTGCAAGTGAAGGTGATGACACATATTGAAGAAAAGCTCTTGAGCATCAAGAGTATTGAATAAAGGCGTTCCATCATTCCCTGAGTTACATAATTATCAGGCCAAATGCAGGATAAAGGTAAAAGCAGGAGGGGAAAAAAATAAAAAAGTAACCTAGATTGCTAACAAGGGCTTTTCAGAACACTGCCAAAAAGGATGTTTAATGGAGGCTACAGCATCAAAAAAATGTGTTCTGAGACTTAGGATTTTCTTCTCTCAGATACTGCTTCCTTGGATGCTCAATTGGCCTGGAGAATCAAGCTGACACTGGATGCTGAGATTTCTTCTTCCTTAAATCTTCTTGGCATACATACTCTGCCAGAAGCAACTCATGAACACTTCAACAAAGCGAAAAATAAATCTATTATTATTCACTAAATGTTAGGTATATAAATGATAGTCGTTTACAGTTGAGCCCAATACAACCTTATGAACCCAAATGTTGCTATAGACCAAACTATAGCATCAGAAATATCAACAAAACCTACAGAAATGTCTTTTGCTATCAGCTTCCCTGGGAAATGCCAAAAGTAATAAGGAAGACTTTTTTTCAGTGTAACCACTCACCATCCTTCTCCCTGCTTTCTGGCTCCTGTAGCAAGGCAGGCACACGGTGAAAAAATGTTTCAAGCCAGTGGGTGGCGTCCAGTATTATATTCTGGATGTGTCGTTGGTGGTTTGAATATGTCAGATATTTTTAGCTACTGTAAGCAGTTCTAGGCAATCAAGTATTATAATCAAGAGCATGGCTCAGCTGTATTTGTTCAGTCAGGATTTTAAAGATTCAGGTTTTACACCTCTCTTAGTTAATGTGCTAGGATGGGATAGGTGTATTTGCTCCCCATTCTGGTGTAGCACGGTCAGTTTCAGAAGCACGATCTTTTGCAGAACTCCCCACTGTGCTCAGCTGAGTGGATAGTTATTTCAGAAACAGCAGCTTTCTGCAAGGAAATAGGAAAGGTAGTCCTGAGGCTGGCTGGAGATGTTCAGAGTTACCTGTGACTGTGAAAATCTCTGGATTGCAGTGGGATACAAAGGCATGCTATTTGAGAAATGACAGAGACTGTGGATAAAAAATTACAGTAAAGCCAACCCTCTCAACACCAAGCCCGTGATCAGTGCCCAGCAGAAGCAGCAGGAGGGGAGGCCAGGTCTCCCCGCCGCTTCCATCAGCACTTGCTGAGCTGCCCCCACCTTGTACGAGGACGCGGCCTGCCGCCGTTCAGCACCGCGGACAGCGCCCGCCCGCTCCCGCCCTGCCCACGCGTGTCCCCGCCGGCCGCGCTCCCAGGCGAAGAGGAGCCACAGGAGAAGCGCTGGGCCTGGGTGTGTTTTGGCAGAGCTGCACCTCAACTCGGTAGGCTCTGGCTCTGTGGTAGTCACCTGGGTTTGGTGACTCAAAAGTAACAGTAGGAATCTGGAAGAGAATTCCAGTACTCTAAATTGCCAAGAAGCAAAAACATGGATCCTGTATTAACAGCCCTGTATTTTCTCCCTAAACATGCATGTACCTGGGTGTCCCCTCGGCCTCACTGCCACACTTCGATCTCAGACCTTCCTGCAGCTTTCTCTCTTCTCCCTGGTTTTCCACTACAGCTATAAGAAGACAATGCAACTGTGCCTTTTAATTGCTGTACCATCACAAAGAAATAAAAACTCGATGTCAGAGCTTCAGATTTGAAGGTGCAGTTATTGCAGCTATCTATCATCCACACTAGGGCTTTGCAGGTCATGAGTGCAACTCTCCTTTTCACTGCAGTACTGCAAAGTAAATGATTGCAGGTGCATTTCTCAAACTTCGAAATCCTCTATTTCCCCATGTAGCCTTCACCAATTGGCTCGGCTGTCCCAGAAAAGCTTAAGACAGAGGTCACAACCCATTTTCCTGAAAACTCGAGAAATCACTTCATTCTTCCGAGTCCCTCATGCTTAGACCCTTCACCAGTGTGCTATTTCTCCTTCTCACGTTCAGTTGTGAATGAGCAACCTACTTTTTTCAGCAAGCAGAGTCCACCAGATACCTGCTGAAACTTTGCAATTCAAAGATCCACTGCTGATTTCCCAAGTAGCTTCTCCTTCTGTACTTCCTCAGCATCATCAGTAACTTGTCAGAAGTCGATATAATACAATAACGTCAAAAACTTGTCTGCAGAGAAGCCACCCCTGTACACCTGCTCAGATGAGTGCATGAGTAGAGAGACTTAAAAATGATCACTGCTGCAACATTATGCTATTTGATTCTCCCATACACAGTCTGACTCTTACCTCCCACACATCAGCATTTCTAATAGAGCACTTCCATACACAACCTCTTTAGCTCATGCTCGAGCTCTTGGACTGCTCAGAGGAAGTGACATACCCTTGCAATTGAAGCTAATGGTACTTCAAAGCAAGCTGTAGTTTCCAGGGTTAGAAATTGCATGGCAGTGGGACTCATACCTAATGCCTTTCACTTTTTCTGCTCATTTCCTCTCAAATGCAAATTCTAATTATCCTCTGACTATCTGAAGCAGGGCCACTTCATTCAAGATTATTGCCATTATGACATTTTGAGCAAGCCAAGAACACCTGCCCTCCTAATCATCTCTGCACACACAGCCCACCCAAGCTATTCTGTCTC